AGCTGTTATAAATTCACTGTAAACCACGGCTTCTTGGGGCTTATTGCTTTATTTTAAAGATTTCTCACACAGCTCTATGATCTTGACTGGTCAATTCTGGGTTTCTGTGTTTAAATATTTTAGCTTAATGACACTAAACTTATTTATTCAGGATAATGTACAGTCACATGGTGACATAAACTGGTTTATTTGGCAAGTACAACCACCTGACTGCATGTTATCTTGTCTCTCACCGTGTGATGATCTGCGTGAAGGTGCGACACAAAGATGGTGGAGAGTCTGGAGAGGATCTCGTCCACGTCATCGCCGTAATGACGACACATCTGGCCGAACGTTCCCTCCCCACAATCCAGCAGCAGCGACTGAGATGAGCTGAGGAGCACGGAGATGTTCAGACATGCTTTACTTGATTATATTACAGCAATCACACACAAGAGACTGTGGGTTACGGCGATTTCACCAAAGACAGGAAGTGTTTTTGTTGCTAATCTGAACCAGAGGGACTAAAACCCCCTCAACCACAGTAAATATCACACTGCATGGACTGATGCATATTGCTTTTGCTTTAAAGGGGTCATAGGATGCCCATTTTCCACAAGTTGATATGATTCTTTAGGGTCTTAATGAAAAGTCTGTAACATAGTTTGGTTAAAATTTCTCAATGGTAGTGTAAAAAAAAACACCTTTTTTACCCTGTCAAAAACAGCTCTTTTCAGATCAAGCCGTTTTTGTAGCATTTTCCTTTAAATGTTAATGAGCTCTGCTGACCCCGCCCCTCTCTTCCGAGCTGCTCTCAGAGAGACTGTTTACTTTAGCCACATTCATCGTGAAACTTGCTAATTAGCACATTATTAGGAAAGGCGATTTGCAAAGATTCATTACAAAACATTATACTCGCTTCTTCTGTAGATGAAGCTAGATCACGAATGATTCGCGCGAACAGACGCATTTATGTAGATCGGGGGCGCATTCCCTTCAGAAACAAACATAATCCACTGCGTCTTCAGCGGCTCAGATGTCGGGAGTAAATGACGACTGCTATGTTCATTATTACATCCAACAACACCTCAGTCGCTTGTTAGGAGTCATTCTTGTCTACATCTGCTCCAGCGGTGAAACAATGGCGGACTGATGACAGCTCACTCAGGCGGGTCTAAGGTAAGACGCAAGTCCAGTCTGTGCTGAAACGCTACTGTCAATCAAACTATCGTGGGAGGGGCCTGTCTGTGTGACGTCACACAGACAGGCATCTGAGATCGACTCGATTTGAGAAAGGGGTAAAGATTTTAGTAGATTAACAAAAAACCACTGGGTGGATTTTTATCATTATAGGGTGGTTGTGTACACACACTGCCAACACACATTTCAGTTCAAACAACTTGTAAAAGTGCATGTAGAATTTTTTTTTTTTAGTTGAGCTAATTATTAAGCTGTATTATTTTGAATCATACTAATAATTATTAATATTAAAAGGGGAAATTATAGAGCGGTGAAACAATGGCGGACTGATGACAGCTCACTCAGAGCGGGTCTAAGGTAAGACACCAGTCCAGTCTGTGCTGAAACGCTACTGTCAATCAAACTATCGTGGGAGGGGCCTGTCTGTGTGACGTCACACAGACAGGCATCTGAGATCGGCTCGATTTGAGAAAGGGGAAAATATTTAACCAGATAAAAAAAATCCTATGCATCCTATGACCCCTTTAATAAAACAGCAACACACTGCAAAATATGACTTTTGATGTATATGAAAATATGAAATATGATATGTTTCACAAGAAAATATTATTTCACTTTCTACTTCAGATTTTCACATTTGATTCAACATGTTACTTGCCATTTTTGTAATTATTTGTCAAACAAAATATTTCTGAGTGAAAATTGTTTAAAAAATATTAAATAGTTAAAGTTACACACACACACACACACACATACATATATATATATATATAATGACTTTTATTATTATTATTATTATGGAACAGTAAGATTTAATATTAGGCCTACCTGATGTTCACTAAAGTCCCGCTGACGTTTCTGATCTTCATCGGCAGAGACGAGCCGGTGCCCAAAAACACGATCTCAGGAAACTTCTCACCTTTACCAGCATAGAAACAAACATAAAATCATGCTAAACATCTGAAGCACGGAACAAAATCAGCCCACACACACTCTATAAGAGCTTAGCTCTTTTATAGTTCATATAGACTACCAGTCTGAGGTCCTTCTTTATTATGACCCTTTTCCACATTTTAGAAACACAAATCCTTCGACTCTCGTACGATCTGAGGCATCTGATACAGATACAGTAGAGAGGGAACGTGAGAAGTGAAGACAGTTTTACTCGGAGGAAATTAAATGTCAGGCTGTGGACGTGTTCTTGTCTTTCTGCTCTTCTAATTCAATACTTTCATCCCTCCTTCACTCTCTGATCGGTAGAAAGCTCACCAGATGTGGAGATGGATGCAGCCGCCTGCATTCCTCAACTTCCTGTAAGAAGTTTGGCACTTCGGCTGCTTCCTTCACAAACTCCTCAGAGTCGCAGGATGGGATGGCATCTCTACACACACACACACACACACACACGCACACACACACACACACACAC